ATATATATATATATATATATATATATACATCTATATCTATAGATATATACAGAATTAAAATTTCTCATATAGGTAGATTAACACCATCCGTATATATGATTAAATGAAAATAAACATTTTCAGTACAAGCTAAAAGTATTTAATGTTATGATTTAAGAAAAATAGGGATCATGAATGCAGTTTCAAATTACATCAATATAATTGCACACATTTTTATAAACTGTATAAAATATTAGATAACGTAGAAATATTATTTAATTAATAAACAAGAAGTACTTACATCTGGAGAATGATTTAATTTTGGATAGAAACATTAATAAATTTTCATTTTATATGCCAAAATTATAAAATTTATTGAATTTTGTTATTGGTAATAGACCTATTAAATTATATATAATTATATTTTTTAAATTACGCTTTTTAACATAAATTTTTTAATTTCTTCAAAAAGCATGTAAAATATTTGTAAAAATTTAAAAGTGTAATTCAAATATAATATACTTTTAATTTTAACTATTTAGTTATCTACATGCATAATAAAAAATAAATATTGTTTCATTATACTTGATAACATTTGTAATACATATTCTAACTTATTTTTGTTTATATATTTAGCATATTACATTGATTAGTACACTACATTATGTCTTCGTTTAACATGCAGAGGGCAACTATTTTTTTACTTTGTCGATTTATAATTTTTTGTAATTATAAAATATATTGACTTATATATTAAATGCAAATATTATATTGTTATTTTAGAATAATATTATTTAATTAAAAAAGATTTGTTATTCTTTAGACAGTCTATATATGTTCAAATACGGAGAAGCACTATACGGTAGAAACGTTAGACAAGCGTTGGAAGGTGAATTTCCTAGTGTTGTTTGTATTGTAAGATTGAGTAATTTCCATAATTTTTTTGGAAATGATATAAAATGTACTGGAACATTGATTACACATGATCATATTTTGACATCTGCTCATTGTTTCGAAAATATGGGAATACACAGTATTCACGCACTTGTTGGATCAATAGATTTAAGGCAGGCTACACGATATCATATATATTGGTGGATAACTTATAATCTGTGGGCTGCGTCACAAAACAGAGAACTTGAATTCGACACTAATGACATTGCTATAATAAAAGTAAATTAATATTTATACGTATTATTGATTGTATTTTATATTATTCTAGTATTTGCTGTCATATTAAAATATTAATTGTATTTGAATGAGAGAGGAGGAGAGGGGGAGATAGTATTAATCTAATATCTGTTAATACTTTTATAAATATAATACGAAATAATACAAGTTAATTAATCTACATATTTACATACATTGCTATTTATTATATATTTATATTAATTCTCCTTACTTTAGTTACTTACACAAGTTAATGAAACAATCATCCCAGCACTTGTTTCATTTGACGACAATAGCAATTTAGTTGGTTTAGATGCTGTCATTGCAGGATGGGGTAAATTAACAGATGGCTTAAACCCAAATATTTTACATACAGTTAATGTGAGAATTATATCACGAGACGACTGCGAAACTATAGCTTATCGAGTTGTACAACGCTATGTTTATATTAGCGAAAGATATCTTTGTACCTTGGCTGAACCATATGCTCTTATAAACTCTGTATGTAATGATATAATCTATTTGAATATTAAAATTTTCAATAATGCACACTCAAAAAACATTATTCGCTTATAAAAACATTAAAAAAAAATCTCTATGTCTTCTTTACATGTAAATTTTACTATTACTGACTATAAAGATATTAAAACTAACCTTTCTTGTTAGGGTGACAGTGGTGGTCCACTTATTTTTGGGAGTTTTATTTTAGGTGTTAACCAAGGAACATGCCCCAGAACAGGTACTATAATTGATATACGAAAAGCCAATCTTCATTGTGGTGTTGATTATTACAGAATGTTTATTAATGATTTGATGCGTTTATAGATATTATATGTAAATACAAATTTTTTATTTTAAATAAACTTCTTTAAATAAAATTTCTTATATAAGTTCATTTCTATAAATTATTTTAATTTTCGATTACTTTATGCATTTAAATCTTGAATTTGTTATATTACATTTATTTAATTTTCTATAGCAAAGCAAGTATTAAGAACAAGCATTTCATTTATAAATATAGTTTGCTATTAATGAACTGAAAAAATAGAATTTTTAATGATGAGAGAAACATTTTTATTAAAATTGTATTTCGTATTCAAACTAAATGAGTTTTTTTTTAAGGCAAGTTTAATCTCATACATTTCTAAATATTGTTCCAAGTTTTCGTATTTGTAGACAGTTATATTGATAGGGTACTTAAATTCAAAAAGCTAACTGACTTTTTAAATGACTTGAAACATCATTTATCATATTTGTTTGAGAATAAGAGACTCCGTTTAATAAGGCAATAAAATATCTGACAAGTAATGTCATGAAAATTGTATTTAAGACTTCAAAACTTTCCTGCTCATAATTATTTGTACTAGTGTCATAAAACATCTGGAAAACTCTAGCGGAACGTGCTCATACTCCCAGTGCAGTAGAACCTAATGGGTTTACTGCCGGGAGAACCCCAAAGTAGATTCGAAACGAATATCAGATATGCGTGAAGCATTGAGTACAAATATTTACTGCAACCGAAAACCCATACGTACTACACATGCAATGACCATACGTGCGCACTCGGCCTTTAAGACAATGCTTGCATTGTTCTTGGCTATGCCACATCTGGTCGATCGTATTGGAAAATTGACCACGCCCAAGCGGACCCTTCTTCTAGCCAAGTCCCAGAGAGGGATGAGGCAACCAAAGAGAGGTGACCAATGGAAAAGGCTCGCCACCTTCCGACACTTTCCCAATTAGCAAATTCGGAACTGAGCCCGGAAGGAAGTGGAAATGAAGGCGTGCATAATCTATTGTGCGACCCAAGATCAACCACTGATTGGTTAATTAATAAAGGAAGAAGGGATCCCAAGTGGAGCGGGATCAGTGAATCATTTTAAGAAGGGACTACGTAATGTACCCTCACTTACTCTTTCCAAATACTTCTTACAGTGAAGGATAAGTCACGACCAACTCTCACGGAGGAGGACCGGAGAGATGAGTCGTTTAGCTAGCTGAGTTTTAATAATAAGTTCTTTCCACTATTGTGAATTAGTGTACAGTTGAATTGATCTCATCAAGACTGGATTGCGTGGGACCTGACCACTTGTGGTCTCACTTGGAGACAAGGAAGAACTGAAGGGTTGCAACATTGCAAGGGAACGTAATAACAAGCCATCGAAGAGAGACTGGAAAATCACGATACACTGCAAGTAAGTCCTTACAGCTAGTACTCATTCTTGATTTCTCGGCTTATGTAGAAGACGGACGGATTAAAGTCCAACTACGGAAGCTTCCCGGACATACTCTTGAACAAGACCAGCTATAAATGCCACATTGGCTTCTCAATCCCTCCAACTGCAAGTTGTTCCCGCCACAGATGGCGCACAGCTTCGCATAACCTCCATCTCGGCTCTCTTACGACCGATATTTAAAGGCAACTACACACGTATTAAGATAAACACAATAGCATTCCAGTGTTCGATCAGAAAACTACAATCACGATAACCTCTTAGTGATAATATTCAATAGATTATAACCTGCTTCATTCATAGTAAATATATTTCAACACCACAAGATTATCAAGAAATATAAAGTTCGTCTGTAATTCACCCTTTTGTAAATCAATTCAAATAAATAGAAATAATAAGGACATGTGTTAATTATTAATCAGTGCATTCACCCTTTACTTGCCCGGCAACCCCACATAACATCTAGTGGGTTTTATTGTTCTACGTTAATTATTGCACGTTTGGCTGACTAGTCAAATTGTGGGATTATTTTCCGAACAAACAATATATTAAAATAATGTTATAAGCCAATTAACGATAACATTATTTTGTTATCGAAATATGAATAACAAAATAATTAAAAATATATTAGTTGTAAATTAATAAAAATATTAAAGTTAAAAAATGATATTTTTGTTGGAAAATTCTACCTTCTCGAATTATACGTATTTATTATTGAACAAAAAACTGTTGCCTAAGAAAGATATAATTTCAAAATACTTCTAATCAATAACATAAAGTAATTTAACATATTGGAAAAAATGCATTCTTCAATATTATTTTTATTGTTTTTCATATGCCACGTATCATTTATTATAGGTAGAACTATTTTTATAGTTTGTATATATATATATATATATATATATACATGTTACTAATAGAAAATTAATTTATTTATTCTATTTTATGTAGGAGACAAAGTACTTACCTTTACGAAAGAGGAGTGTTATGCATGCTGTAATAGTAAGCTATATCTTTAATCCATTATTAGCAAACAATAGCTTTAAAAACAATTTAGTAAGTTATTGTATTATTGTTGGTTATAAATACATATAGTATTTAATATTAATTATATCTTTAACAAAAAAAATTAAATAAAATGAAAACAAATTTTTTTTTAAATAAATTAAATATAAAAAATTAAAAATAAAAAAATTAAATTGAAAACAAAATTTGTATATGATAAGTTACTCGAAAATTTTTATTCTTAATATTAATATAATTTATTTTTAATACATTTATACTCAGAAATAATTTAATTATGATTTTACATATGGATAATTGTTAATAATGTTATTTTTTTAACTGTAATTTATTATGTTCTGATATATATATATATATATATATGATTATTACATAAAAAATACAGTATAATTACCTCCATAAGTACAAAAGTGGAATATGTGATATTAATATTCTACAAACCAGCGAGGAAAAATGGAAAACTAATTAAAATAAACAAAAAAATTGTTTTAGTTTATTTGTATTTAGTGCAATGTTTATTAATATATTTATACAAATTTATTTATTTAAAATTGTTTCGAAAAGCTTATAAAATATCAAATCTACTAACGATTATAAGAATTATTAATGTAATAGGCGAGAATTTAAAATGCCGGGTACTTATAAACATCATCAATATTTATCGCAATGAATATAAGTTTGAGGGACCCGTGACATTTAATATAACATTTCTGTATAGGTAGCACTTCAGTACTAGAATAAAAAATTTTTTTTTAAAAAAAAAAAAAAAAAAAAAAAAAAAATTAGACATGAAGAATAATTAATAATTAAATTTTAATTCATATACATCGCATTAAAAATTTCGTTGTCATTAACCAATAATGAAATATATATATAAAAATATTATATATTATAAAGAAATGTATGAATATTATAAGTATTGTAAAAAATAACGCGGTGTAACATTGGATAAAATATATTGGTATCGAGTAAAATAGAAAAAATTTAAAAATTAGAGGAGTAAAACACAAGACAAAAAAGACAGTTGAAATGAAAGAATGAATTTTTCATATTTAATCTGTAGATTGAAGAGACAGAGAAAAGCTGGACAAATAAAGATAGGGTATAAGTAAAATGAAATTGGCTGCAACATTTTATGATTTTAATATATTATAAATAATACAGTAGCAAAAAATAGAAATGTAAAAATACATATATTACGAGTACGATGTTGATAATGATGCAATTTAAAATTTTGTATGTAGTATACAATGACATACGAGCTTATCTAAATAGAATGTAAATTATAGTTAAGATACGACGTAATTATATTTTTTTTCATATAACTAAATTTATTCCGACTATATTTGCTAGCACTAATAAATAGCCTTTATCTTCCATTGCGAGTTTTACTACTTGTAGCTTCTTAGCACTTCTCATATATCGTATTTATCACGGGTAGGAAGGTCTACAAATAAGTTAATCAGTCTTCTTAGTCGCCGGTACATGTGCATATGAAAAGTCATGAACGACTTCTGCATTCTGTGATCAAGTTGATAAGTTACAACGTCACTCATCTTTAGTTGTTAAGATGTGTGCTACTCGACGTGACGATAGATATTACAAAAATACATATATAGTTGACTTAAAAAGAAAAATGTGAAATTTGATTCAGAATAAATAATAATTAAAAATTACAGATAAAAAAAACTAGAATTACAAGAATTTCTACTAAAGACAACGATGACAAATTTTTTCATTCAAATTAATAAAAACAATAAACAATAAAAGAGTATATTTTAATAGACATAACATTAAAAAACTTTGCTCTAAATTAATTAATTCAATTTAATTATAATAATTTATATTAGAAACAAAAATTCAACGTATACATACTATTATCTTTTTTAGGATCTGAATATAAATACAAAATTTGTATTCGTCTAAACTTTAGTTTCCTTAAAAGGTGCAACAAAATAATTTTAAGTATTATTCAAAAACAAAACCAAAATTTTTCTGAAAAATTGAAGAATTCTTCGAAAATTGTTGGAAAATAAACGATTCAATCATCAGCGATGACTTAAAAAATATCCATTATTGCTTTAATTTCTTCTTTATTTCTGTAATAATCATACATTAAAATATATGCTTAAATATTTAAATTATGTCCCATAACAGCGTTAAAAATAAAATACCTATTGTTAAATGATATTAATTGTTAATTAAAAATATGTTAAATGATATTAATTATTTTTAATATCTGTAGTTCCGTATTTCAATTTAGCTCTAACTACTATGAAAAATAAGTGTAATACATCATGCGATAAAAAATTCTACAGTAAGTAAAATAAAATTTGTAAATCTGCCTTTATGCATAAGTTTACTTTTTGTTTAATAAGCTTTAAGTATATAATTTAAAGTGAGTAATAAAGTTATTAAACTCTTTACACAACCACAATATATATTTTTAAGACTCTTTATTAATTTAAATCAAATTAATCTTTAAATACAAGTTTTCATATTTAAGTTAGATATCTGTCGTTTTTTACAATAAAAAGAAAATATTTTGATAATAGTTGATGAATAGCAAAAATTGTTTTTAAATTTTAAGATTATCATCAAATGATTAAAATTTGAAAATTATGTAGAAAAATGATGAATTATAATTTGAATTACGTATCTTGAAATTTTAGACTATATATTATCAGTCTAATTACTTGCTTTAAATTTTTTAATTAATTAGTTTCAATTTTGTATATTTCATTGATTGTCATTGTTTTGTCTTATATAGGAACAACTATGTACCATGCTAGAACTAGATGCCTACAGGGTTGCAAGGGTAAGTTAAATAATTATTGCTACTTTAGAATATTATAAATAATTATAGGTCTTATTTACTTTTATTAATTTATGTAGTATAGAAATCGATATATATTGTATTTATCCATTTTTATTCTATTTTAACTATAATTTAAAATTTTAAGTATATTATAATCATAATAAGAAAACTGATAGTAATTGCATATTTAATTTAAAATCACTGTAATGTATCGTTTATTCGGATAAATCTTATAAATTAGCTATTAATAATTTTCGAATATTTGAAAAGATCTAATGCACGTAAGGACTTTAGTAATTGCAAAATTAATAAACCTTTAGTACAAAAAGTCAGATATATTTTAATTAAATAAATAATTCATTATGCAATATATATTATACATTATACAAAATAAATATTAATTCATAAAGCAGGAAAGATTTCGTAATAGGAGAAGGTTGTCTTAATATTTAAATTCTAATTTAACATACTTCGGGAAATCTAATAAGTACTTAAAAATTTCTATGATATATAAAAGTTTTTTTGCAAATTCAATTCCAATATTTTTAAAAATAACAGAGAATATTTAGTATTTATAGTATTTTATTTTATTATAGAATTCATATATAAATGTTAATCTTATATTTATAAATAATCAAGTTATAGCTATATATATATATATATTATATACTACAGCTATTATCGAAGAATGTAGAAAAGGTTGTGACGACGCATGTAACTCAATGTTTAGACGTAGTAAGTACATTAATAAAAAAATTGTTCTCTCTTTATTTTTCACGTAAATATTATCATATAAATTACAAATACTTATTTCAGAAAGGCCTAACCAAATAACAAGCAGAGCAACGGACATAGATTTAACATTAAAGCTTTAAACAATTGAGAACATTAATGAAATATAAAAAAAACTGTACGATAATAGATATTTAAATATAGTGCATCAAACATGTATTTCTATATAATATATTTTTATCTAACAATATACTTTTAAATACACTTTTATGTATTATTTAATATTAAACAGTTTACAAAAACATATTGATTCAATAATATTAATTATTTTAATGTAACATTATTTTAAGTTGTTAAATTTTTTTTGGATAAGTAAGTATTTGTAATATAATTGGTTTAAATTTTTATTTGAAAATAGGAAATAAAAAAAATAAAATATAAATAATTCATTTTTATTGAAATATTTGTAAATGTAAACGAAAGCACAAGGACACCGTTTTCAAGGAACCAATAGGTGTTAAATATATTATGAACATAGAATAACACGAAAAATAAATATTATTTACAGTCTACCCAATAATTTTGTTACTTTCTTATCTATATATGTGCTGTATGAAAGTATTATTATCCATTAATCATGAATACATTCTAAAACTGATAATGAATAATAAACAATAATTTTAATTACTTTCATGTAATTATCCGAGAATAAGAGAATTTATAAACTATTTATAATAATAACATTATTTATTTAACTAAAATTACGAGTAATAATATGATTAAAGGAATAGTTGATTCTTATTTAATAAATGTAGTAAATATTTATTAGATAGAGAACAATATTTTATGAAAACTCGAGATTTACAATTGCATATATTTATTATTAAAAGAATCTTATTGCAAAAAATATAACATAAAAATTGCATTCAAAAAGTATACAATTTAAAAACAGTAAAAATAATTTTTATAATTTCCCAAATATTAATAAAAATGCATTCGTCTATATTGGTTACATTATTTTTAATATAAAACAGATTTAGCATTACAAAAACTAAATAAATTGTTTTATTTAATTTTAAATGTGACATAAACTACTTATAGTGGCAAAAAATAGTGTATGGGATGTTGCAATGATAAACTATATGTTTACTCCGTTGTTTTTTATCATTACAAATATGATACTTCAAATTTTTTTAATTCACAACACATTCACAAACATACACATACTTATATATAATTATCTAAACATAAAAGCGTTGAAATCAAATTAAAAATATTATATGTATAAATTTGATAGCTATTGCTTAAATATTACATTGTATTATATATAAAATATAGAGCAAAATAAATCATAAAAAATATGAATATTACAACATTATAACTTAAAACATTAACTAACTGAATATATTCCGTAAAAAAAGACGGGTATTTCATGAAAATATTAAGAATTTTCTCTTATTTAGGGTACGAAATTGATTACGACAAATAAATATTCATATGTCGTAATTCATTAATATAATTTTTATATTTAAAATATTTTTATATATTAAACAGACTTATGATATTATAAATTTATTTTATCTTATATCCTATTTATTAACTATATATATATAATTGCGTTCATTCATAATTTCCAAGGTGTATATATTAATCACATGATTTTATTCTTCCATGTTTTATTAGCATATTTTTATTCCTAATATATTTTGATTTTATTAGCATTTTTAAATGGGTTAATAAAAACATGTTTAAAAAATATTTCAACTACTTTTTTTTATCTTTGTTATTTAAAATTGAACACATTATAACAAAAATCATTATATTTATGATTGTAAGGATTAGATAAAAGATTACAAATTACTACATAAATATATTTATATTTATAATTAGATTTATAAATATAAGAAATATAATATATTTATATATAATTATTTTCAATATAAAATCATATCATATACAAAATCAAATATGCCGAGAAATATTATTTTCATATATACAAAATTACCACAATTTTATGCAAATTTAAACAAAGTACAATATGATATTTATTCATTTATTGATAATAGGTTTGATGAAAGATATTTGGGAAATAAGCGCATAAAATTTACTTAAGAAATAATTCGATTCTACGTACAAATAATCAGCATAAATAAGCATTATGATAAATTATTATAATAAAATATTATTAAAATAACATAGTATATAACATAGTTCGGTGGTTATTATTTAGTAATTAGTTCAGTGATAAGTACAATGTTATTCTATCTCTAAAATGTACATAGATACAAAATTTAATATTAATGAAATTACTTGAGAATTGCACAATGTTTTACATAAACTTTAGAAATAACAAATATTTTTATATGGTATACTATATGATAAAATATATTAAAATATAACAATAACATATATTATAAATAAGAAAAATATTATATATAGATTAGATAATAACACTGTACTTGCACTTATCAGTTTCTATTTTTACATATTTTTATTTTATTAAACTTATTTTTTAAACTTATTATTATAAATAAAAAGGAAAGAAAAAATTAAAAATAATAATTTTTATATAATGTATTTTATACCATTAACTAACATAGTCACCGTTAAATTTGATTAAATTAATGATATAATATTGTGTTTATGTTTTATTATTAATATTACAGTTAAATAAATAATATTAAACAAATTTAATAAAAATATGTATTTATAAACACTTATATCGTTATTTATGCATATAAAGTAGTGGGGCCCTCGTGCCGAAAAACGAGAAACATTTTGTTAAATTTTTCCTTTGAATAATTGACTTTATTTAGAGGTTCTCGAAAATATTGATTAAAAACTGCGCGACCTGCAATTCATCTGTTGTTAATATTTAATATTAAATCTAATAATATCATATTAATATAGCGCAACATATTTTATGACGTTCATATTCTTTTGAGTAAAAATTCATTTGAAACAATTTTTAAATATATTTTGTATTTTAATAAAATTAGTATACAAAATAGTTCAATTAAAAATAGTATACAAAGCCGAATTGTATGTATCTAGATTCCAAAGTATACTTTATGTGTAATTCTATATTGCCCATTATATGCCCTATATTTATTTAATATCTAATTCTTCATGCTGAATGGTTTATTAGTATTATTTTTGCCAAAATCTTCTCAAGTAGTTTTAAGTAATTCTAATTTTTAATTTCCCTTAATGAATAGGTTTTTTTGATTTTTTTTTATATAAAAAATTGTACGACTCGATTATTTTTTAAAAACATATTTCAAAATAATTCAAATATAAATAATGTAATTTAGTTTATTTTTTGATGTGTTACATTAAGGAATAGTGAACACTTTTCAAAAATTCGAATAAAAATGTTTTGTTCTTAAAGTCGACGTTATAATTTGAATAACTTATTAGAATCATTGAATGACTTCAACAGGTTCTTATTTTATATTATACTGCATTTGTATTACTTTTGAATATATTTAAACTTAAATGTAAAATTGTATGCATATTTAATATATTGAAGAAATATATTGCATATTATGTACAAAATCAAAACATTAAAAATATAATCTGTGATTAGTATGAATACAATTCTTTTTTAAAATACAATGAGTTTAAAATATTAATTAATTAATTTTATAAAATTATAGTATAATTTTTCAAGGTAAGTATCTCTGCCTATTATAAATTACCAAGCTTCAAGTAAGCATTTTTTCAATAGTGAATATAAAATATAAAAATTACGTTCAAAATAACATAGTACATACAGGTGCACATTTATTCTTAATTATTATTTAATTTGAATCGATTTTTTAATATAAAAGCAAATGAAACTTTGTCAAAATCAAAAGTAACATAATATCATATTATACACAACGTAATATTAAAATGGCAAATAAATTGCTATATATAATAATAGAAAGATTTAGAAATAGTATATTAAATTACAGAAATTAATTTATTGAAAATTAAAATAAAAATAATTAATTTCAGTTTTCAGCATTATGTTTGGAGCATTATCGTTTTATTCATTTAAAAATTTATATTTCTTTCAATACAACATACATATATAAAATAAAAATGTGTTTCAGTCTTCTAAATAAAAAAATTATTATATTTATATAAATACAATTGCTTTATTGTTTAATAATTGAAAATTTATTTATTAGCAAAAATCATTAATTATGATATTTTTACAAAAAAAGTAAATTTATGACAATTTTATGCAATGAAATAATGCCAATACATATTAATTAATAATAACATATAATTTTATGTACAAATCAAAATGAACATTGTTAATATTTTTTATTTATGTGCATAACACTTATAATACTCAATAATACATAGAATAATAATAAATCGATCATATTATGACGTGGTTACCGCCCTAATATATTGTTTTTTACATGTATACAAATGTAAAAAAAAAGTACAATAACAAATGTTAACGTTAATAAACGTTGCATTACCAAATCTCATGAATCATTTTTTTTTTAATTAATAACTTTGAAAAGACCAATCGCAACAATGAGGTTAAATATTGTATTAAATTGAAGACCTTTAATATTTCGAAGCACAAAAGTTTTATGAATCATGTAATATAAATAAAATGTAGCAATTTTCATTAAAAATTTAAATGCACTGGAAACTAGCACTACTTATTTAATTATAGGTGTGTATTCATTCACATTTGTATTGCATCCCTCCTTTACATTTTATTATGTAAAAATTATTTAAACTATTACGATATAGAAATTACGAGATTGAAATGACGATATTGAAAACGAAACTATGTGGATTCGTTTTCTTAATTTTAAGTTGCACTCATTTTAAATTTAATAGTTACCTTTTTCATTCTATAAAGATATACTGTGTACAGACAAAATAATTAGTAATTATTGGATTTAATATATAAAATAAATTTGTTTATATTTCATTTATCTTCAAAAAAAGAATAATTTTTTTTGTAGCTATAGAAATGAACTATTTCATGCAAATAGTAATACAAAGGGTCATCACTATAAAAATGTAATATATTAAACCTTTCATATATATCGATAACACAACTTATTTTTGTAAACAACAATAACATTTATTTACAATATACAAGAGCAATTGAATGCATGTAAATTTTAATTCAGTTATAAATTTCATAATCTTAATATTATATCTGAATATTAATATTTGAAAATAAAGTATAATGATAAGTATTATTTTTTTCATTTAAAACAAATATAATTTTATTAAATAATAAACGAAAGATTTTTTATCGAAGTGATAATTTAACAAACAATATGCGCAAATATCAAAGAAAAACATGATTTTTTTATTAAAGTCGAAATAGTTCCAAGGTCACAAAATTTAAGCCCATTTCATTTTTCGCTCTTATCTTTACGTATTATAACGTAAGAATGAAAGTTCTTTAGATTTCATAGCACTATTTTCATGTAAACTGAAAAATATTAAATAGATTACAGATTATACAAGAAATTAATGAATTGCAAGCATGAAGGATCATAACTATAACTAAATCGCATCAGATTAGCCTAGAAGGATCATCAAATCGACAAAACCAACTTCTTTTCATTAAATAAATATACTGCATTAGTACAAATTAATAACAGAAAATTTTCATAAATTGTTTTCAAATGTCCTTTTTCCAAAAATGCATATAAAATATGAATCAGCTCTTATACAAACTCCGGATAAGATTAGAATTTTAATAATATCTTTCTCTCTGATTACAAATAAAATTCTTATCACCATTTAGCTGGTTAATTCTCTATTATCATCTTCATAAAATATGATTATGAAAACCGTTAAAATTATTTACACGAATTTTATGATTTATACATGTAGTGCTCTTCTTGAATCTTCAGGGTAAAAATGTATAAGTAAATTAATAATTGTACATAAGCAAAGAAATCCAAGAAATATAATAATATGCAAGAATATTAAAAAAACAATCGCAATAACGATGCTATATCACATGATAATATTAAAATTTAAGATCAATCGGATTATTTAAATTTATATTCATTTGTATCCGAATCGCCGCATTGTCTAGGATGTTTCATGTTTTTTACGTGAAAAATATTTTCTTTAAAACGACAAATAAAAATATATTAACTTTTTAAATTACTTGTAAAATAAATATCAGTTAATTTGCATTAACAATAGGGTAAACTAATAAAAGGTAACGATAAGATAATAAAATTTAATTTATTTTATTTATAAGCATTCAAGCACTTTGAAATAATTTTTTTAAATAATTATTTAAATTAATTTTTGGTAGTGTCTAAAAATATAACTATTTTTATACTGTATTATGACTATAATATTAAGTTTTTTATTTAAAAGTATAAGAAATGTAATTCCTGAACACTATAGAACTATATGTAACTAATTGCCTTAATATCATTTCTTTTCGAGTCAAATTTCAAATATACAATAAATTACATTAGAGTTTACTAAAATCTTATGTGTCCGAATCATAGGAGTTGAAAGTTGTATCGCAACACAAAAATATGACGTTTTCATTAACAGCGCAGATTTATCAAAACGTTTATAAAACACAATAAAAAACGAAAATATATTCCTGCAATTAATCAAAAATACAGATGATAAGAAAGTAAATTAATTTTCTAAGCAAGCAACTACGAGAAAATATGACTTTCAATAAAGCTAGAAGCGAATGTTGCCTTTTACTGAATTCCTATCTATTTGAAATATACATTACTTCTAAATACCGACCTTTTTGTAATAATCAAGCTTGCACTTGTGATGATTAATGAGTCATTTGTCAGAAACTAAATACGACTAATTATTACAAATAGAAAATATAATTAAATTATGTTAACATCTCTTATAAAGAACTTTCTTCTACAAGAATTTTATAATACAAATAGTTTGATACTTAATCATAAATCCATTGTATATGGATGAAACGTAAAATTATACTGGAATAAAGAGAATTTACATTCGAAAGATTTTGTTCATTTTCTTTCAAAAAAGTCGCAAAAGAAACAAAAAAAAAATATGCATTTGATCTCAATAATTAAAAAATATATGTATCCAGTAAGGGCTTACTCAGAACCATTCATTCAAAATTTTGTTAAAGAAAGTAACGCCCGAATTAAAAGACACTGAGTAACTCGTTGTCATGGTAGAAAAAAATAAAAGAATGAAATGAGGTCTCCTCATCGTGCAAAGTGGTCGAAGTGAAAGCTCATATTGGAGCGGCAGGAGTAGTGCGGCAATCCGTCCTCAGCTAATCCGCCCAGTAGCCATCCTCACTCCGTTAGGACGTGAAGATAACCTTGACTGTAGAGTTCAGCAACGAGGGAACCGCATATTTCAAGAGCGTTATGCAATGAATTGGCCGAATCTCGTATCATCCGCACCGACTGCTCAACATCAGTACGCAATTCCGCGTACTGTTTATTCGCCGCGAGAACTTCCAGAGCTTGCATCGCACGAACCGCTTCAACACTGGGTCGCGCCTCCATTTCCTCCGGATCGGCACCAACACGAGGCGGTGCCACTCCGGGTGAATGAGGTCTGAATCGAACAATTTGTTGCTGCTGTTGTTGCTGTTCTTGATCCAGTGTTAAATCTGCCTGACGCAATTCTGGTAACTGCGCCAAACAGAACACACCGAGGGCTCTGGACAGGAACTTACACCTTCAATAAAAAATTTTTATCAATTACTCTATTTAATTATATTTATACATTGAAACCTGACACAAGTCTGTGCAGTAGGATAATTTTATAAGAACCATTATTTTATGTATAGAATTATGTTGTCATATAATCTAAAATGTATGGGATTTATTTATATATGGGATATATGGGAAAATTTAATTATATAAAAAATAAATCCATATGCATACACATTTTATTTACCGAGTTTTTAATCAGTAATAATATAAATATTTCATTTTAAATAAAGTGTGTAATAAGCTGTGTATTAAATAGTATGCCAATTACATAGGCATAAACAATCTAATTGAATATTATATTAGATACTTATTATTTGTCTTGGATATTAATTTGACATATTTGAGAAATAAATAATTTGGGATGGTCATAAGAAAAAGGAACCGAACGTAAAAGGGATAAAAATTTATCTAAACTGCTAACTTAAACAGTTTGATTTGTAAAAATCACAGTTTTACTATTATTAATGCACTATTAAGTGATTTACAATAAATGATTAAATAAAACATAATATCTTTATAAAAAGAATGTTGAAAAATCATGTTATTGCATTTAATCGTTATTTAATTTTAATTTTTTTTTCAAAAGCAAATGTCTTTCACAATTTTTCATCTATTTCATCAATAAAGAATACATTCGCAGACATGGACGCAGTTGAAAGCTTGTGAATAAATTGATAAACGTAAATGCTTTTAATTATTAATCGACATAAATACTTTTAATCCAATGTTTTTAAAATAATCTCAATCTAAAAAATTTCGACTTTTTGTTAACCTTGGAGAAAGCTGAGAGCTTTTCTTAAGTCCGATGGCTCCAAGAATACCCCAACCTTGAGCAGCATCATCGGCCACTATTTGTAGAGCTTTTGCAAGGCCTTTGAGCGCACGAATTGCTATTATCGTATTTTCGCTGTATTGACACTGGCGATAGATCAATTCAAGCGCTTTTGCCCATAAAAGCGGCAACTTCTCTTCAATTCTGTCACTGAATAAAAAAAAACCATAATTACAGTGTTACACAGCAATATATTTAGTGCTATATTATAAATATACTGTAGTAATTTAATTGAATGAAATAATTAACATATTATATTAGACCTTCATCAAAGCCCGATCGTTAATACAGTCGTTGCTAATATTAATATTGTATGTAAGTATACTATAATTAATACTGTAACTAATGTTCTCGTATCAAAAGATTAGACATTTCACTTCAATCAATGTACATCATCCATATATTACAATATGTTACAATGTAAAAATAAATGACTCACGTGGGTTTAATTGCTGTAATCCAATCGATAAGATTTGTTAGAAGCATACCCTCTTCTCTAATATCGTGGCAAGATGGTAAACGTTTAAGAAGGATGGCATAAAGGGCAAGAATACGACCCTCGGTGACAAGTACATTTTCAATCGGTAACTGTCGCGGAGCTAAGGGTTGCAAAATAGTTAAGACCGCTGCCCAGGTTGGATGACTACTCTCAACAACTGTTAACATATAATTAACGGTAAAATTTTAAATATTAAATAAAATTGTAAAATCTGAAGTTTAAAAATGAAAACTCGTCCCACACTTAAAGCCATTGTACAACGTTAACAAAACACACTATTTATCCTCAACGGATAATTTAATTTTGTTGATAAGCGTTGAAAATATTTTTTAAGACTTTTTATATGATATTATGTAAAACGAAGTTAAATACCATTGTGTTTGAAGTAAGCTTCAAGGGCAGCTTCCATAATCTCGCCGAGAGTGGAGGGTGAGACAACAGCGACTCCAATAACTCTTAATATACCAAGAAGTATCGGACTATATGAAGAACGTTGTAGTAGCCAGGTAGCCCAGCTAGTACGAAGTTGTTCGACAAGCACGTTACTTTGGTTTACTGAGTGTAGGAGCTCCGTTACCAAGAGGCCTGCTTCCACCACCTGCAGGGACTCTGATACCGCTGCGTATTTTAATTAATTACTGTTAAATTTTATAAAAAGAAATTAAAAAAAAATTGTAATAACATAAAGTAGTCTAGATTTTTGGCAATATCCAAATATTTTATCGACTTTCGTTCTATATTATAAAATACAAATAAAGCCGACTGTAATATGCGTACATTTTGAAGGTATGTAGTTGCACTATTAATATAATTTTTGGTATTAAAGTAGTATTTTTAGAAACATCATTTCAATTAATTTTCATAGTGACGTAAATACAAAAATTGCATAATTTTTTTAACTGAAAATCATGTAATAAGTTTTTTTTAATTTAGACTCACTCATAGTAATAACTGACTCCATATCATCCAGCATTCGAGATAAAGCGTCTGTGAAAGCTTTAATATTTGTTGATACAAATGACTTGTATCTTGTTGTACAATTCACTAAGAGCTTCGCTGACGATCTTACATACATTTGGCGTTTTTTTAACGTAGTCGGGTGTAAATGTACCACGGTCGGATCATAAGCAGCTACTACTTTTAACAAACTTTAAAATGAAATTCCCATGTTATTAATATCCAGTTAATTAGTTAAATTAAGTTTTTAATTTATATATTAAATTTTATACTAAAAGCTGAATTAATATTCTTAATATACTTATTCATATTAATTAAAGTAAAATATCAACAGATCTTTTTCTTATATATTAAATCATGATGAATTAAAATAACTTATTATAATATTGGTACGATATATTAAAAATACACACTTATGAATAGCTATATCGAGTGGGTGATTATGCTCAGTACCAAGACCGAGAACAACCTTCGGATCACAACTCATAACGTGCCAATTGATTATCTGGTCATAAGCTGCAGAATCTAATAAGTACCAACAGAATTTTCCAGCATCTTGAACAATTGTGATTGCACGTTCATTTTGTCTGACATTAGGTTCATTTGACAGCTTTACCACTAGATTGAGAAAACAAATGTGGATGCGTGTTGCGACAGGCAGTGGCTGATTATTCATCAGTTCAATCATCCATTGTGACCAATTAACACTTACGAACACACTACCCAGAAACAAGTGACTATCTGGGAGATACTGATCGATCACCTATTAATAATAAATTTCATAATACATTTTCTTCTTCTTAAAACTAATTTTTATGAACAAATTTACAAATATTGTACCTTGACCATGAATTCAACATTAGTTATACTGGGATTGAATTTATCCCATGACAATGTTAAGAAATTTCCATGCACAACATTCAAAATGTGATCTTTAATAGATGCATGGGCATAATTTGTTACATAAAATTGCCAAAGAAAGCAAAGAACCTTATTAGATGCTGGCATTGTATCGATGATGAAGCGAATACATTCGACAAATATCAAAACCTACAATTAATATATAATACATGTTTTATTATTATATTATTATATAAGAATATCGCTTTAAATACATGAATGTTTTTGCGAAATTTTTTTTCTAAACTTTTTTTCTAAATTTTTATTACTAGAATAATAATAAAACAAAACAAAATTTTAAATTACTTTATTTTTACTATGACTGTAGATAATAGATTGATTAAAAATTATTAATTAAAATTCCTACAGACTATAGTTGAGCATGCTCAATATAAAAGAAAGAGTTAGATTTGTAAATTTGAAATCCGGTAGCAAAGGTCGTACTATTTCGCAATATCGATTAAAATTTTAATAGTTATTTATATTTCAGAATAATTTTAAAAGAATAAAAATATTAGGAAAATCGAACCGTGCGATTAGCGTAGGGTCCATCAGTGATGATCCAAGGTAAAAGAACTGATCGATCGTCTGTGAGCTGTTGAATCCAAGCCGCCGTAGGTTCGCGTAAATTTCGTGTCCAATAGGGTACGATCCAAGGTGCAAACATATCACTCAATACGGGCCAAATTTTTTCACATACTAAAAGTAAAAAACATGTAAAAACAAAAAATTTTTATATAAACTTCATAAATGTAAAAAGTAAACTGTAATCAATAAATGGAAATATAAAGAAACGACTACTAAAATACTAAAATTTAATTTAAATAAAATTAAATTTAATGTGAATTAATGCTTAAAAAAATTATATAGATGAGCGGTATTTTCAAAAGCCTTTCAATATTTAATGTGAATTTGAAATTAGAAATTTAATTATGACTAACTTCAGTACAAGTTAAACAATACTCAACTAACTTATTAGAAGTATATACTTTATCGATATAGCTATAAAATTACTTTATACTTATGGTAATTCGAATCACAGTTTTATTTTAAATGGATTCTATTATTTATCATTTAGCTCATAAATTAGTAAAGACAAGAGCTAAAATTTGCATTGGATATCATTTGTACCGGATAACATTATTTTTATCAACTATACTCTACTGTTACGATGATGTGTGTTTTAATCTGAGAATAATTGTAAGCATTATACATACACTGATCAGCCAAAGAACCTCTATCAAATTGTAGAGTAAGAACAACGAGAGCGTGCCCGATCATCCCAAGAAACATTGTTAGAGCTTCATTGTAGATTCGATACTTTGGATAGAGTCCATAAAGACCATATTGTAAACGTTCATTCATAAAGTGTTTGCTCAATAATATTGCTGTATCATGTATCTAGTAAAAGAATAAATTGGCAAACTTGGCATTAATAGTGGAAGAAGGACTGATAAATAGCATTGCGTGTAACATGAAGTTGAAAAGCATATCATCTATCATGATTAATACATATGTTACCTCTTGTCGCGAAAGGAGCTTCTGCTCGGTTGCGTAGCGTCTGATTTCCTCGCGAGCCCTACCCACATTCAGGAGCGAAGGCACGCTCTTGGGCTTGCCGCTGAGAGCCTCGAGGAGGTCTTGCCATACATCAACGGCAAGACTCTGGTTTTCGCTGCCACGCAACACCGCACTTAGTACCTCGCCATAGTGTTCCGGGAACTCATGAAGAAGAACAAGCCGTAGGTGATTGCGGTACAACTCGTGCAACACAAGCCGCTCCTCACTTGGCTGGAGACCGATGTTGCAAAGGGCACGCATCACCAGCTCGATGAACATTGAGCGTTCGCTCAACCGCGGCCGGCGGTAGTTCAACCAGCTACCCACGTCGAACTACAAAGAGCCCGTATAAGAACATTGTCAACCATTGTTTGATTAAATCAATTTTTACAGAAAGACATATACCGAATAACCGCTTAGATATATATTTACTATTAATTAATAAACTGTGTAAATAATAATTTCAGTCCTTTGTATCGGGGGTTCTCGATGTTACCATTACCTTTACCACGTGGAGGAAATTCAAAACTTAAAAAAATTAGAAAACAAAAAATATCTTGTAATAATTTGAAATTGCCGAACCTTAGTGAGTAGAACAAAACAAAGATCGATATTATTGCCAGTGGATAATTCAACGATAGTTTGATACATCTGAAGGAAGGTGTATGCGCCTCCCGCAACAGGAGTGAAATGTGGACCAAGAAGTCCACCAAGATTAGGTCGTTCTATTATTGTTACGAGCAATCGTGATCCTTGACTTTCTTCGCCACTTATGAACAACTACAAATGGCATTATTGGTGTCTTTAATCATTTTGTATTTTGTATTGCAAAAATAATATCAATTTTAATAAATAAACAATATATAAATTTTATTAGCTAATTTTTATATAGCCTTGTAAAGAAATTTATCGAGCTTTTAATAATTATTTTGAAATTATAATTTGTTTGAAAACTTACAAGTATCTTATATAAGCACTTTTTCATTTTAATTAATACAACTAAATTTTAAAAATAATTTATATAAAGATACAACAATTAACAAATATGCTGATAGTAATGAATTAGTGTAAAATTTGTAGCGTAACACCGTAAACGTAAATAAAATTATATTATTTACTTGTCCTAATTTTTCTAAACATGTTGTAATGAGTTGTTTTGTAGGTGGACATAAAGCAGCTTCTTCTGTATACAACTGCACTAAATGATAAAAAAGATTAACACCGGACTCTTGCACTTTCGATAAGACCGAAGAATTTTCAGTGGTACGATTAATAGTTAACTCATATTCTAAAAGCCTGTAACATTTTTTTTACCCTTACAATCATTTTCAATATATGTAGTGTACAGAATATTAAAAATTATCTTTTATACACGTACGTTATAAGATGATCGATGAAAACACATCCTTCAGTAACTTTACTAGGCGGTGCTTGACTTGCCTTCACTAATACATTTTCATATTCTGCTCGATTTTGACTTATCATATGATCCACACCATCGCTTACCCGAGCTTCTGAAACCTTACCAAAATGGAATTAAATACGTTTCTTTTCGAATTTATTTATTAATCATCCTTACGATATAAGATTTAATTCGTATAAACGAAAATCTGAATTTTGAAAATTTGAAACAAAGTAATATAATGAAATTAAACTAATATTAAAAATAAATTATTAAGCGCATAACAATATTTAATAAATATATTTGTAAATATATTTAATATTTTCTTAATTAACGTTAAATATATTGAATTATTTCTAAACCACGAAAATTTTTTAAAATACAAAAATATAATTATAAATGATAAATCTGCTATTACTGTTAAAAATTTTCAGTATTATAACAAAAAAATGAAAATAGTTCCAAATAGATATCTACATACAAATAATCTTCTAATATTAAAATTGATTGATTCACCGACTTACTGACTTCTAACATTAATTATTAATGCTAATAGTATCCATTCGTAAATATTGTCACTAATAAAAAACAATAAAAAATATACGATAATTACTGGATTTTTTTTAATTTTCAAAAAAATAATAACAATCTTATTACGACTTCTAATCTTAAATTAGTTCTGAACTAATCTACATACGAGTTTTATTTGTAAATAGTATTTACTATTATCTTATTCTATAATTTTAATTGGAAGATTAATAAAATTTTATTTGTCGTTGCTTCTTTTTATTTTTTATTCATTAAATTATTAGGACTTTCAGTATTCGTACGATTATTATACTATTGATATATTTATTATTTTTTAATTTTTAATCAACAGAAAACTGAATTAAAACCAATTATATAATTATTCCATGTTATATCCAATCAGAATTGTAATTTTTATACAATTTTTCCATCATTATTTAATAAATTATGAGGTATAGTTGCATTATTTATATCAATTCTAATTATTTTATTTCTAACTTACAATTTATCCGATACAATTAAAGCGTTTAAATTTAAAATAATGTATTAATTTCATTTCGAATTTTTATTGAAAATTTTAAAATTTTAATGAGCATTATAGAAAAATCAATTGAATTTCCTATTATTAATTTATATAGTTTATTTAGTTAATTTATATATTATTCCAATTTCATATTTTCTACATTATGTAATGAACTTAATATTGTTTTTTTTAAACATTATTTTAAAGAATAACAATGAAAATAATTAATTTCCATTTTGTTTAATATTATAAAAATTATCCACATTATAATTATGTATCTGATTAACATGCAATATTAAATTATATCGATTGGAATAGACTATTAGTAAGTTAATCAATGTAAATTATAATACTTAATTTCATTATAAATAAAAATATTACGTATAAAATTATTCCATCTTAATTCTAATATAATTATATCTTGTTTATCAGAGTGTTTTTCGAAATTTAACAGTGAAAAATATTATTATTAAATATTAAATAAAATATTGTGAAGAATAATTATTTGCTAATAAAATTAATTTAAACATTTTATACATAAATTTATTTCAATTTGTTTACAAAATAAAGTAAAATGAATTGTCAGTAATGAAGGTATGGAAAAATACTTATAACAATTACTGCTCTCTTTATTATTTACAAATTATTCGTTTCATAAATTATTGATTTTATTCAGGAGTTAAAGGAAACTCTAAAATTAGATTATGTTGCATTAGTTCCCTTCACAATATACGTTGCAAATACATAGATTGAAAAAAATGTAAAAATAATAGATAAACTGTTCTTACTTTGATTTTAATGACGGCGGCACCAGCACAATGTACAATTGGTGGCGTACCAGTTTGTAAACGTCTTTGTCCTGACGGGGCCTGGTCACAAAGGGCATATAACGTTACTTGGTTTTCAACTTCCTTATACAATGTGGGCACCAACTCTAAAAAGCTGCAATCTACTGCCGTATGTTCCGAAACCATAAGGTTGAACGTTTGAGCGTAATCTAGAATAACCTGTACAATTGAATTATGGTTTGTTTTTCAATAAAATATCTATTAATGCAATAGTAATAACTTATATAGGTTAATCATTTCAACAAAAATAATCGTTGCAGAGAACAAACCTTGAGGTGTGGCTTAATGAGATCAACGATGGCCTCAGTATCGTAAAGACATTCTCTAGGTATGTGACTAGCTAAACGCGAATAACGGCTAAGAGGAGGCGGTGACACAGGCTGCTCATAACTGTTCAGTCGACGAAAAATACGCTGTAAAGGATCGGCCGGTTCGACAGGCGTTGTTGGGGTCTGGCATAATAGCTTTGATCCTGAGTTATTAGCATTCTGGTAACAACAGATCTGCCATTCCTGTAGTGATTTCAGTCGATCTTTCTGTACCGCCCAATAATCGATGTATTCCAACCATGGATTCTATTACTCATAAGAATAATTACTAAAATTATTATTATGTTTCTTTGTATTGACAAGTCTTTTCTATCTTTAAATTAAAATGTAACTTTAAATATATGTTTTGAAAAATCGTGAAACAATGATCATCGATTAAAAAAAATTTATATATACATTTGCGTTTACGATATCTAATATTAAAAATTAAATTGATTTTTTTAATTATTGATCACACCTGATCGTTTTGTAATATCGCGATTAATTTTTGAGACATGTATTGCGGTGGTAAAGCGGGCAAATAAAGTCCAGACTCTTGGAGTCGAGGTTCCTCTAGCCACAAACTCAGAGTCTTATAATATCTATAAATGAAAAATAAAATCATTTGAAATATTCTGTAAAATATCAAACCCAAGACTCAATATATATGTGCTTATAAGTAATAACGCACTTAGCAGTGTTTAAATAAAAAACGCGTCTCTCATCAGTCATTGGTTTACCATCATGCACATCATTGCCTGCTTTTAGTTGAAAATGCTCCATTGTATCGAGTAGTCGTTTCTTTAACTTTTTGAAATAGCTCAGATTTATCATGCCCTCAAAAAACTTACCCCCGACACAGCCTTTATTCACAGAACTAAAAAAAATTAAGAAAATTGATTTTTTATAATTTAATTAATATATATTATACAGAAGATAATAAGAAATTATTAAAAAATATATAAGTACATTCTATTCTTGTACATTTTATTAACTTTTAAAGAGTATGTTATTCTATTAATTATTTACAATTGCAACTATGTTATTAATGTACACTTATCGTTAATAAAATGACATGAATATTAGTTAAAACAAAACTTTTATATAAAAAATATTAACTTAATTTCTTTTGTAAAATAACATTTTTTAATTATTTCATACCCTGTTGTACTAGGAACTCGAGCTAGAAAAAGAGTAAAAAAATTTTGCCACAATAGTGGAAGAAGCGGATGATCCATTGATGTATCAAGGGCTTGCTGTGACCATCGATATATAGCTAAATTATTCGATCCGAAATTCTGAATTTTTAAATTGGAGCATACTTTCTAGAAAATAAACGATAAAATACTATATTAATGAAATTTAATGATATATTTTCAATAAGTACTTTCTGATATGCAAACAAATGTAACATTTAAAGCAATTACATATTTTTCAACAAAACTAGTATAAATGATATTTTCAGAGTGCACATATTTTAAATACTTCAATAAAAGTATTATATTTTTATATATAAATTTATTAAAAATCAAAAGTATTGGTCAACGTACTATATTAATAAATAAAAAGCTCGAATTCATTAATCGTGCGTCTCACTCAAAACGTTAATTTGATCCATCTAATTTACCTTGAAAGCGACATCCATCGATTTATTCTCATTTGAAAGCTCGAAAAGTAACTCGCGCCAGAGTCCAGTCTTGATTTCACGTTCCTGTTGTTCAGTATAAAGTATTTGATATGATACCCAGATTGATTGGCTCGAGCCTCCTAGGAGACTCAATAAATGAGATGAACCAGTAGCCCAGCTCATGATGAATGATCCAAAGCTCGAACCTGAATTGCGTACCGCCGTAATACTCTTGAAAAAAAGAGATCTGCTCATTAAATATACTTAAGCTTTATCCTTATGTCTAGTGTAATTTTCATGTTCACACTATCAATAGTAATTTTATCACACTATATATTAATTCAGTAAATACAAATTTCATATAATCAATATTTTTTTATTTCCTTTTTCTTCATTTTTAAAACTAATGAATCTTTAAAATGATATAGAATATCTAACGATAAATATCGTTTATTGTAAATGGAAAAAGTATTTAATTGTAAAAAAATCTTTAAAAAAAATCCTAAAAATCATAAAAACATACATATTTTAAACAGACAAAATTTAACATTACATTATAATTCACTATTATATTATCGAATTTTCTTATTCATGTCTTATGTTATAGTTTCATGATTAACTTTTTATAACGTTGTCTCATAAGATTACTAATGAAAAGTAATATTTTTGTATATAATTCCAGATACTGGTAAGCTTTCCAGGGTTTGTATCAAATGATTGAGCTACATAAGCATTGCTAAAATGTATCTTATACTAATTAGCATGTCTTAATGTAATGTAATTAATAATAGATAATTCATTAAATTCATTTGTCTATACAAATATTTTTATTAAAAAACTGCCGATAAATTAATTAATAATAATCAAAAAGTAAAACTAATTTCTAACTTATTATTTACTTTAATTACATGTAAAATACAATATGATATCAATAATATAATAGAAAACAATAATGTCACCACTTATTTATGTAGAATACATAAGCTAATTACAATAAATTCTATATAGAGAGAACAATTTTTAATCTATGAAAAAAACTACAAATCACTAAATTTAATATTTTATTTAAAATAGACTTACTTCATTTCCATTATATGTGAGCTGTTTTAAATGAATGGTGTAGTAGATAGATAATAAAATTCTTATTAATTACTTAAATATTCTTATAAAATTCATTGAAAATGCTTACTGTAAAAAGATTTTGAAAAATATTTTCTGTAACTGCTCTTGCTCCGAGATGAAAGAACGAAGCTCGTATTAAAGTATCCATCAAATACATTATATTTTGATCTCTGTTCCACTCAGGAATCAAAACAAATATATTAAGCCAGAGTTTAACCAATGGATCTGGTGATTGCAAGCAAAATCTGTAATAAAAAAATTTAATGCGAATAAAAATTATAATTAGTCATTGGCATTTAATTTGAAATTTAAAAAATATAATATAACGTTCAAATAAAATATTTTCATTTTTAAGTATTTAAAAAAAATTACTTCTGATAAATAATTTGGCTGCCTGAATAATGCAGAAGCCTGTAGGAGGAAGTCATATGGCATTCAAAGTTGAATAAGATAGTATAGAAAAACTAATGAAAAACTAAGAAAATTGGGAGTTTATGAATAAATGAAATATACTTTATCCATCTATCTATGACTGTATATCTGACTGTTTATCTAACTATTTATCTGTCTGTTTGTCTGTCTGTTTGTCTGTCAGCCTGCCTATCTACCTGTCTACATAACTCTCTAAACATATAAGAAATTTTTTTAGTTCTTTCTATTACTCAAATACAACAAAACTGTAAACAAGTAAACCGCTACTCGAGTATTAGATAACACGAATATGCGGTGTTTTAATAAGAACTCGAATAAATCATTTTTATTACTACGGTACACAAATTTTTACTTAGAACCTTAGTATTCATAAAATTACATTATATATACACGTAACCATGACATTTACCATAGACGTACAAAAAAAGTCTAACATTAAATGAACTATCTTTGCAACATCTTAATATTTTTATGAGTTTAAATAATTTTTCAGACATTATATTTACTTTGTTGAATCGAAATTATTTCAAGGTTATTTTAAAGATATTACTAATTTAATCTAAAGATGTAAAAATTAAAATTCTTTCAAACCTTTTTGAATTTTGTAACTGATATTCAATCATATTTGCAAAAACCTTCAATAAAGGTCCTGGAAAATCAGAAGCAATTAGACTCTTTGCCATTTTCATATATGTTCTTTCGACACATATAAGTCGTAGCACTATTTTCATAAATGTGTCATTACTCAATAATGATTCTGGACAGTCTAGAAAAAGAGGCACTAAATCGTTCAATACTATCAATACTTGTTCATACTTGCAATTGCATAGTAACACCTGAAAAAAATACTCACTTATTATATTCGATACTTGTAAAAATTACAATATAAACTATAATATATAAAATGTAAATTATAATACACGATATAAATTTTAAAAAATTCCTAAAATTAACATAAATGATAATCTTTTACTTTACTCTCTAAACATCGTCATTGTAAAAACATAGACCAGAATTCATAATTTCGCAACTCAATAAAATATTGGCACAATGATCATTAATCGAAAAAAAGTGCTTACAGATTATTTTATCCAATGCTCTTGTTTTAATTTGTGTTAATTCACATTAGTGCCAAATTTTGAGGATAGGAGAAATATAAACAAGCCATACTTTTAAAATCCGCAAAAGTTATTATTCATATGGCAAACAAAAACTTATATAATTCAGTAATTTAGACAAATACTATTTATTTTTCCAAAAATTCAAAGGGTGTGAAGCTAATCCCTTTTTCTTAAGTACGGATAAGAACAGATAAAAAGATTATCTACAATTGGATGATAACAGAATCCACACCGTAAAAGATTTTATGCAAAGATAGGGAGTAAAGTTTAATAAAAATCAGAAAAATGCATTTTCAAGACACGAAATATATAACTGTTTCATTTTGCTTAATATCAATTGGTGATGGCAGTGAACTAAATATGAAAGATTTATGGTACATGATAATACTAGCAAGAATTAGCATTTAATTTGCATAACTCGAGCATATATGAACGTCATTGTATTTGTAATAATTAGAGACGAATTTATAATTAAACACAAAATTGAATTTAAAAACAATTTTCTTTTATTTTTCTACTCTTATTTTTCATTATACTTTCACAGATTGCTAATATTAAATCAAATGTGCAAAATTCCAATCCTCATCTCAGTATCGATACCGAAGTAATAAATTATCTTTTATTGTCATGTAATACTAGTTTTAATTTAGTACAATATTACTTTGTTACTTTTCTTTGTAACTTTTTCAGAGTGTAATAATAGATTTATACAGATTCATATCGAATATAAAAAAGTGGAACTCTACGAAGTTCTGTGGTGCAATGAATTTATTCTCATCCTGGTCATGAGACGGTTAATTTTAAATCCTCCAAATGTCTATATATTTTTTCTTTTTTTAGTATTTATTATACTAATAACTAAGGATAAAAACAAATGATGTATCAAATACAATACCGAATATTATGCCAATACATTAATTAATTAAGACTGAAATGCGTAAATTAAATATGGTATATATATAGAAAGAGAGATCGAGAGTATTAGGCATAATTGTTTTATTATATTGCTTAATAATATTTCGTAGCATAAGATAAAAAAAAATTTGAAGTAAACTCAGAAGTGTTAGTGATACACAGAATAAAACTAAATAAAGATAAAAAACAATTATGAAGAATTTGTATATAAAGATGCTATAAAAAGAAATGTTTATCGTACAATTATATTTCTAAAAAAATTGATTTCTTTTTCTGAATATTAATGTAATTCATTCATAGTTAACCTGTAATAACTCAAAAGCCTTAGAACAAATGAGTGGCACTGAATGTCCATAAAGGGTCATTCTTACGGCAGCGTAGCAAGCAATTGGCTGTTTGCTACGTAATCCAGTGAGCAAAATATCAAGACTATCATCAGACTCAAGGTCTAATACGCAGGCAAATGCTTGTTCTGGACTGGATATCGCATACTGACATGCTGATTCTGACTGTTCCATTTGATGCAAACGAAGCCTTGTCAGAGTTTCCCAAGCCCAGAAAACAAATATCTGTTCGTTACTTTGAGGCCGCACCATCGATGACATCTATAATATAAAATAAGGACATTTATTTTTGTATAGCAGATTCTTAAATTTCCAAATATTTATATTGCAAATAATACCATATAGTAAGTTTAAATGTATGTTGAGTTTTAAAATAGATCATAATATAATTATATTTATAATCGTCCAGCTATTCATACACACTATATATCGAAATTCAAATAACTATACGTAATTACTGTCATTAATGATCTCGTGATAAAAATTAAAGAAAATATTTGCATTACATTCATATTATTATTAATGTAAAAATTAATGAAATAAATAAACTGTATTATACATGAAAAGTGAAAATTTATGAGGTTTATCTTATCAAATTATAATATATATATCACTTCGAATTTTTATAAACGAATGATTTACCTGTTTAACTCCTTCTGATAATAACGAAGTAGTTTGAACTGAAATATTTTCAGGGGCATATTTAATTGTGAGTTGAACAATAAGTAATGCTAGTCGTTGATGAAAATCAAGAGGTAAATATAAGTTTTCGTAACTGTAATAAAAATATTACAAATTTTAATATTGAAATCAAAATACACTACTTTTATTAATATATTTTTATATAATATATATTATAAATATTATGACTTTTAAAACAATACTAACATTAATAATATTGTTAAAAGCTTTTATAAATATACTTACTTATCAAATCCGTAATTTAAATGTGAAATAATTAATCGAGATAAATGGCTTTCTGTTGAAGAAAGATCATATTGATCCAGCCAATTAGAAAGAATTTTAAAATCTGCATCGTTTGGGATCCAACAACTTATATTTAATTCCATAAAAAGATATAAACTTAACTAAAATAATATTTTAAAGTATAAAACTTTTTCAACTACATTATCAAAATATTATTTATATTTACCTTTCCAACAGATGCAAAGTTATCTTTAAGTTTTGCAATAATATCTGACAGAAGTAAGGGATACTTGCTAGTAAGATTAGATAAAAGTGATCTTGCATCTTTGGAACAACAATCTTGAGTTTTTGAGCTTAAAAATCCGATCTGAAGATAAATTTGTTAGCAATTAATTATAGCATAGATAATATTATATAAATAACTTTTTTTTAATAATAAAAGGAAATTTGAAAATTAATCTTTTGTTTTTGTATCTAAAAATAATTGTGTTTAATTTAATGAAATAAATTTTAATTATGTCCGTTTAAAATTGACGTAAATAGATAAACAAAATAACCTGAAAAAGATCTATTGTAGCTGCTTGAACAAATTTATAATCTTGATTGGTTCTTGCCATGGCCATATTGGCAAAAGTTGTTAATAAAAAGTATGATTCGTCTCCAGGCAGATTACTGAGCTTCTCTTCAAATTCTATACGTAAAGTCTGCGAATTCAGCTTATTTTCCCATTCTAATACAAATAATAATAAACTGCATTATGTATTATGCGTTAAAAAACATATTAATATCAGTTATAAATCAAAAAACTTTCAGTTTTGCAAGTTTTATCTTTTCTTAAGCGTCTAAAATTAATAAAAATTATAACATTTCTTTTTTAATAGTTTTTTAAATAAATAATTATACACGAATTTTAATAGTTACAAGTACAATCAAATGTTTAACCATTTAAAAATTATTCCAATTAAATAATTAATCAAATTAATGGAACAATAAATTAGAGAACTTCGTGGCTTAACGTTTAATATGAAAATAAATATCTTAAGCTTTTCATTATTTACTTTTAATTTATTTAATTGAATTTATAATATGATAAAATATATTAATGTTTTTCTCTTTTTAATATATTTGCATGAATAATGAAAGATACATTGATATAATGCCGTAATAAAATATTTGATGTAATTTTTACATATAAATCAGAAAAAATTAATTTTTATTGTAGTGGAACAATTGTATTTCTTTAGAATAATTATCATTGATTGTAAAATATCACAATAATATTTTCCTAAGTTTTTAACAAATTTATGTAAAATTCTATCTAATATATATTTAATTTAATTCAACATTTTTTAATTATTATCTTTTGTATGTCCTATTTGATAAAATTTTTAAAATCAAAAAGAATTGTACTATATAAGTGTATAAAAAATTTTTTTTAATATTCATCAATATATATTCACATTTTATCAATTTATATCTAAATCATGATTTTTTTATATATGTATACATTATTCATACAATTATTAAATATTATTCTTAATGGATTTATTGACAGTGAATTCTCAATGTTTAAAGAAATATTGAAAGAAATATTTTATAAAATTATAGAGATACCAAAAAGTTTACAAGAATTTGATCAATTTGAGGATATACATCGACATGTAAAGGAATATTTAATAAATACTTTTTATGAAATTTGATGCTTCATACCTAATGTACTATATTGATTAAGCGTATCATTCGGTATTGAGTCTGTATGTAAAATGTAAAATATCTGCCAAAGAGTGGAAAGTGAAATTATCCGATATGGTAAAGCTGCTAAATATTGCCATGCTCCCAAACGTCTTGATGAAAAAATGCACAATGTAGCTCGAAAAAAAAAGCAGTCGTACTCCGTTTGCAACCTTAGCAGCATAGATGGATCGGTTATCTGAAATTAAAATTCGCTTATAAATTTCTTTTATATCTTAAAAACGTCTTCAAATAGAAAAGGGGTATTACAAAAAATATATATTATTGACATATACAATCTTTTTATTCAATACCATAGGATAAATGATAGTTGTAATAAATGGATTGTGATGAATATATATAGTTACAAGTTCATATAGTAAGCATACAGTTCAATAAAGATAAGTCATAATTGATATATTACTATATCTAATTGAATAATACTAGATGATTGATTAATTGCTAATGTAACTAGAGTACACTCATTTCCAAGCATCAAATTACTTTATTTTGTACATATTATCGATATGGTATTTACAAAACTTTATAAATAACTGATAATAGAAAAAATCGTAATATAAAAGAATTCCTATTTTTTTAAATTTCTATAAGATAATAAAATAAAATGCTCTTAATAATGAATACTCAAGTTCTTCAATCCCTTAAAAACAACTTATTCTTTGGTAATAAAAAAATAGTTTAAAGCAATCGATTAATTTAAAAGTAATTACGCGTTCGGTAAACAACTTAATGTACTATTACAATTTCATTCAATCTACAAACTTCGTTACTTTTTTCTTCCAACTTGAGATCGCTAATTACTATTGCAATTCATAATTAATTCACAATTTACAGTAATAAATAATTTCAAAAATAAATTAAAACAAAATAAAACTACAAACTTATATAGAAAATTGAAACTATATTTAAAAGTAATCAATTAAAAAATTAGATTTCTAAGTATACCTCATTTTTGTCATAAGATTCCCACAAATCACTAGCGTACTGAACAACGTCACGTATAAGAGCGCTAAGTCTCTTGGCTAGTTGCCGATACCTAGGTGAGTCATAAGTCTTCAGACCTCTTTTCAGTAATCTAACAATTACAGTGGAAAAAGCGAATATCCGTAGTATATGGTATTCCGTTATAAATTTACGATCTTGTCTATAATCTTCATTACTGTCGCGCTTGATGTGTAATACTTGCTCAAATAGCTTGTTCAGAGGTATTTGATGTAGTAGAGAAATAAGATCACTTTCAAAGAGATTAGCACCAATATTGGCAATGTCCTCGTCCTCTTCTCCCTCTTCGTCCAGCATTACCCATACGGTGTCTCCTTCGTTATTTCCTGTTTCCTGAAGTGTTATTTGAACCTATAATTTATTTTTTATATAAGCAACAAGACTTCTACTTACTTTCGTGTGCAATCATAATCGAAAAAATATTTTACAAACTAAACATATCTAAAATACGATATCAATATTTAAAAGATAGGGATACAACTACTTGTATTCGTTTTCTATACCTATATATAGTATTAATCTTGATGGAAAGTAAACAAACATTAAAGCTTACTTGTTCGAGAAACTTTTCTCTTTCCTTAACAGGCATTAAAATAATAGCTAATGTGGCAAGGATATGATCCAAATGGGCATCATTGAGTGGAGATGTAGTTAATACGATTGGGCTGTTTTTTACAGGTACCGGTACCTGTATAAAACCTTGCGCCCAGTTTGCCACCCCACCAGGACATCTCAAAATATGACTGAGTAAAAACAAGTGATCTTGCCATGTAGCCATTCTAAAATTAGGAATATGCAAATGTTTTAAATGATTATATATTTTTAAATATTTAATCAGTGTTTATTATGCTTTAAAAACATTATTATATATAAAATTATTATATAAGTAGAATTTAAATATTTTATTTTGATTTAATAAGTAAATTATTCGTATTGTAATATGTTTTCCTAATTAAAATTCCATGTTCGAAGGAATACTATTAATAAATACACGATATTAAAAATCGACTAAAATTACGTTTGTAAATTTACATTAATGTGAATATTTACGATATCTTATAGTCACTTGTCATGTACTCTTTATATATATATATATATATATATATATATATATATATATAGTGATTTTAAATAGACATTTCATAAAAAAAAATGACGTAACTCATTATTCAAAAATGTTCATTTAAATTACCTAAAATACATTCAGTTTATTGAAAAAATTCGATAAAAATAATTATTAAGTAAAGTATAAAGAAAACATTGCAAAAATTTCGAAAAATAAACTTGATTAAGATTGGTATAGATACCGCAGTAAAATGGCAACGAGCTTTGATAGCCAATCTCGTGTGTCTCCGATGAATTTCCCATCTTTCAAAATTCTCCTTTGAAAATTAAAGAGTACCGTGATGCACATCCTTAGTTCAACTAATTGTGGTACTGCATAGGATGTTGGTTGGTACTCCGCGAGAATTACTGGCGCATTGGCAGTTAAATTTGCTAACTTCTTGCCGGACATACAGACTCGCTAAAGTTAAATTTATTTTTTAGAGTTTGAAAAACAGGGAAAATACGCTTATGAATTGTATAATCAAATATGTTATTAAAATAAAAATATTTAAATCTTTACGTTTTAAGACATTTCTAAATAAATGTCGTCATACACTATGTCATATGTCACACAATGTCATATACTTTATATTGACTAATAAACAAAAATAAGCATTGTATATAACGAAATAATAATAATAAAAATATTGCTATTTATGTAAATTTGAAAAAAATGCTAATTAAATTATTTGACTCAAATTCATACTACTTTAATTTTAATTTTTATGTATAATATTTACGTTTATACTTTCAGCTTAATGGATTTTCTAATTAATTCATTAAAAATTCTTCTAATCTTTTCTAATTGACATTAAATTGATTCTAATCTTTTTTCGTTATCTCATATATTGATCACTAATATAGTTTTATTAAGATTTTTTTCTAAGAAATTTCTTTACCTGAATATACTGATCAATCTGAAGGCGAAGAGTCTCAACTTCATAACAATAAAGAGCTTGAACATTATGTAAAGATTCTTTTATGGCTGTAAGATTGCGAGTAAGAGCAACAAGTATTTGCTGATTAAAGTGGGCAATTGCATAATCGTGTGTTGCAGTCACTGGATTACCATCCTGGCATTCACCTATACAATTGATATACTTATATTTCTTGAGTAGTATCATTATTTTTTTTTCATTTAAATACATATTTATTTCTTAAATAATTTTGTAAAGAATTTGTATAATTAACTCTTGTCGATATTACAATTTTTTTAATGTAGATAAAAACACTTATTAGTAATTTTTATATTAATATATGAAATTTATATGCATCTTTTAGAATACAAATATTAATAAAAATAAATGGAATATAGAAATCAAATGTAGTAAACAGAAGTTACCTGTTTCAGTTATAGAAGCTTTATCTAAGCACCATAACTGTTTCTGTGTTTCCTTGCAAATTTTCTTAAGATTTTCCAACTCGTGTAAATTAACTATGAAATGATTTCGTACACGAAGATAGGTCATGAGAAGTTCATAAAGTTTATGTTGTCTTACAGCATGATTTCGTAGTTGAAATTCTACGAATTCATTGACAAAGGCTTCAACTGCATTTAATTCTTGATTACTGTATAGCGCAGCTAATTGAGCTTCAACAAATGGTTTTACAATCTTGTGATTATTGCTCATATTTGACTGAGGAGAAAATTCTATTTGTTTAGTTTCCTTTCCCGTTTCCATTTTTTCAAAAACTTGAGATGTTATTACCTTAACTAAAAGATTAAATTGACAATTAATGTTACATTAAACTATATATCAAAATTTTATTTTGTCCTAATTTATTTTATTGAATATAAAAAAAAAATTTTAATGTCTTTTATATAATTTGTAATATATTATCATAATTAAATTATATATAAAAGATTAAATTATGCTTAATAAAATCATCTGACTAGGTATTGTGTGAAAAACTTCATCAAAAATTGGAGCGCTTGGAGCAGATTGATTTATTTGAATATTTGAAATCCTCGAATGAGTATCATCAATTAACTGTTCCAAATCTTCCTCAAATGGTGCAGATACTAATGTATTAACAGTATCTGGTTCATCTACAGATGCACTTTCTAGTATCTGCAACCAATATTTACAAATTGATATAGTATAATAAAAATGTTTTAAAACACAAATCTATTTTATATTATATTATATAAATTAAGTTGATTCAATTACAAATGTTATCACTCATCTGTAAATTACTTATATATTGCGCTGAAATAAATAAATATGTATGAGTGTGTGAGTGTGAGAGTGTGTGTGTGTGTGTGTGTGTGTGTGTGTGTGTGTGTAGGTATAATATAATTTATTACAATTTAGATATGATAAAAAACTGATGGACAATATCATATACTATATTATTTAATATTCTAAAAAATAATAAAAATTAATTGTAAAATTTGCCTTCATCTTACTTGTGCTGAAGAGCTTGCTTCTTCCTTTTCTTGGTTTATAAAGATTTGTATTTTCTCTGTATTTTCTTTTTCGTACACTTCCATATCAATAGCTGCTGAATGTAATTCACTCTCTATATTTTCAATACCTTCACCTTTTGGATAATTGGTAGGAGATTCACCTAATAAACATTCAAATTCTTCCATTGTTGGTGCATCTGGAATCTGATATTGCAATTGAACCAATCTAGTACGATCTTTTTTCTTCTTCTATATATAAAATAATATTTTCTTTAATAAATTTTTAAAATAATAATATTTTATAATTATAATTGTAGCATTATATATGTCTATATTTCATGATAAATGATATATTTTACAATATATTACAAATTTGTATTCAAATTCAAAGTAACACTGTGACTGTATGCTAATTATAATTTATAAAAATGATGATGATAAAATGAATTATAAGTTTTACGTAACTGTAACAAAAACTATGAGAAAAAGAAATGTTTATTTTAAAACTATTATCTAAATTACACAACAATTACTAATAATGTTGAAATATACTAAAATAATTTAACAATTAATAAATTACCAAACAGAAAACAAATGAAAATTAAAGGTAAATTAATATACAAAATGGAATATAAAATAAGAAAACAATTGTTAAGAAAAATAATTTATAAAAACAAATTCGACACTACAAAATAATAGCTTGATAATTTTAAATAATGTATGCATAGAGTAAAAAAAACAAATAATAAAAAATATAAGATAAAATAACAATAAAATTGACTTCAATGGATACCACATAAAATAAAAAAATTTACAAATGAATAACAAACATAACCTCGCACCTGTCTTGATCTTTGTTTTTCCATCGTTAGGTGTTTTTACAGTTTTTTCAAAAATAAATACAAAAGTAGTCAAGAGGCCTATTTAAAAATTTCATTCGTCATTTCCAGAGCAATAAAGAAAATTATAGTTTTCATCTTCAATAAACATATCTGCGCACGCGAAGATACTGCGCTTCGATATTAAAGCACTCAATGTCTACTATATATAGCTATTGCTAATGTGCTATGTGTAGCCTCTATGCCAGGAACGAAAAACAGCTGACATTGTAATGCCGATGAGAATTACGAAAGACTATGTTCGTCAAGGCTACCACGTCATAGTCATTGTTTCCTTATTTTTCAAAATTAATGCTTTTTCCATTAATAAACACTAAAAGTAAATTTAATGCACAATTAAAAATTAATAATGTAAACATGATCTAAAATAAAGGAATCATTAATGTTCGAATAAGATTGATTTGAAGTAGTATTTAATTGACAAGTACGTAACTGACGTGTTAGATGATTTATAAAAACTAAATTATATATATATATAAATTTTTATATGAATATATAATATAATATAATATAATATAATATATGAAAAAAGATTTTATAAGTTATATCAATTAATTCAAATAATCTTTATAAAAGCATTTTACTAATATTTATAATTCACAATAAGTATTAGTAAAACAAAAATGTGCAAAATTATATATTAATTAAATTCATAGTTTCATTACAACATCAATATCACTATCAATCGCATTTATTACTTTATTAGATTATTTACTCGAATATTATTGTAATTGTATTTATTAAAAAAGTTGAAAATTTATTTCCCTTTTATAAATTATTTCTTTTTCTTTTACAATTGTAATGATGTACACGATAATGAATATTTGAAAATTGTCATTTTTCAAGCACCAAAATAGATCACTTAAGACAATTATCTTTTTAATAATAAAATTGAAAACTCTGTAAAAATGTTAACGAACAATTTTAATTAAAAAGATTCCGCTGAAACCTAAAGTCTGTCTTATTTATAAAGAAAAATTGTAGAGAAACTAATAAATTAATAATATAACTACAATATAATCTCTTCTGTGTATAAATGAGATTAATTCTAACAAATGATTTAAAAAATATATTTAAAAATATTTAAAAAACATTTAGATATACCACCCCGCAAATAATTCCAAATTTTCATAAGAATTAGTGTACCCATTATTTTCTAAGAAATTAATATGAATGAAAAAAAAACCTATCCATCCCTTGTGGGGATCGAACCCACGACCTTTGGATTAGAAGTCCAACGCGCTATCCTCTGCGCCAAAGGGACATGATATGAAACATTTAAAAAAGCAGTATTTTAGGATCAAATGTATTAAAATATAATAATAATTTCCTTTTAAAAATAATTTCATCAAAAATGTATAAAATAAAACTTTAGATTAATATTGATTTTAAAATATTAATCATTAATAGTTTTTAAATTTTGTAAAAAAATTCAATAAAGAATTGCTTTGTAAATTACACATAATACATACAGATTTTTATAATAAATTTATGCTCATGAAAATGCTTATTAAAACTGATTAACTCGACTATTTTTAAAACGATTTATTTGTGTATTACTTAATAAATTATATTAATGGTATAAAACATTGTTTATTTTTTAATTACATAGTTAATAAAATACTTTCTTATTTCTTTGAATTAATCTAGCAAACTGTATTGAAACGAAATTTCTTTCAGTTTTAAACTTTTTAAAACATATTTTTATATCCAATTCTTCTCGAATATTTGTCATTTAAATTCATTAAATTATTATAAACTAACCAATGCATGAGATATAGAATAGTATATCATTTTTTATAAATTTATTTCAATTTATAACTACGCTTCAATACTTCGATTACACGGTAATTTAATATTTAATCAAATTTCAAATTTTTTACTTCAAATATTAAGTATTAAATTGGCTGTACAAGATTCGGTATTTTAATAGTTCAATAAAATATACTCTTTTATTAGTATTTTAAAACTAAATTTTGTTAATTAAATTACGAGTAAATATTTTATCAAAAGTTTGAAAATATTTCAAAAGCTATTTTACATAAAATAATCTAAAAATTGTTTACTTGTATACCTAGCATGAATATTTTTTATATTACAAATTATTAATGAATAAAGAAATCAATTAAAGTTATTATTCAAATAATTAACACTTTTTTAAATAAAAAGATTGATAATAATAAGATTGTATGGTTTTATATCAGATTAAATATTAAAAATTAATGAATCCATTAATCATATATTCTTTGTGATACAAATTTGTAGATTTAGGCAAAATTATTATCATTATTAAATTTACTATGACTTCAACTTTTAATTATTAGTGATTAATAGATCAATCATTAATAATATATCAATTTTCTCATTTTTTTATTAATTTTTTATATTTAATTTAAATTTATAAGTTTAATTTAATTCGAAAAAAAAATATAAACTGATTAATTATAAAATAATTTATAATGTTAATAATAATTATTATTCATGAAATTGTGTGTATAAATTAAATAAACAATGCTTTTTATAATCTTTATGTACATATACATAAATCACGAAATATTGAAATACTAATAAGGTACCTGATGAAGCTGCCATTGCAAGCAAGTTGCAGACTAAAGTATTTAAATTGAAGTAAATAGAAACAAAACGTTGAATTGAAATAGATAAGAAAAATGTATATTTTTTACAATACAAAGAGTAATATTGAAATGTTATCGTAAGGTTTTATTTGAAAAACGCCAAGTATAAAAGAAAAGCAAAGACCTTTAATAATTTGATTTTTTCTTTCATAATAAGAATATATTTCTTAATTTATCGAATATTTGTTTTAGAACTAAACATCGACAAATAATTGACCCTCTATTTAAACACTTTGAATATATATATCTACTTACTATAGTTAGGTGTTTGATAATCATAAAACATACGATTAAAATACCCAAATTCTTGAAATTTCGAAATGATACAATTATATTTTTATTAAAAACCATGAAAATGTTAGAATACTTTGAAAAATTAGAATATTAGAATAATAATCAATAGCTATAAAATTTTGATTTTAGCAGCTCAGAACTAGATGTGGGTGATAATAAATAATAGAAAAGAGATGTATGCACTTATTAAATTATATAATAATTTAAATTTATTATCTCAATGGAAATAAACTCTACAATTTATAATTGAAAATCTTGAAATAATAGTATTAAACCTAAATTATTTGATAATTAATTGTTTTGTACGGTAGTTTTAAATTACTATTATAATTTTTAAACTTTATAGATGTATAGAAAATGTCTATAATATTGAAGAGATTTTATTATTACAAACTAATAATATAAAATTTCGTTGTTAAAAGTAAGATTAATAAATTTTTAGTTGCTTTTAATTTACACAAAAATCAAATTTTTACATTTTTTATACAAATTACTATTTACTACCACACCGCGCCTGAGAAATTTTAATCAGTTAATATACAATCTTTAATAGTCAAAATCACTTTTTAAATAACCGATCTATCATTTTCAGAAAAAAATTTAATTAATGTTTAAATCTATTAAAATTATTTAAATCACTTTTTGTCTTCGCTTTAAAACAAAACTTGATTACATAATTAGACTATCTAAGTTGTATGTATAAAATAATTTTCATGAGAAAAATATTTTTCCTTTTCTCTTATACTTCAAAGTATTTAATAAATCCTATGAAACATCCATGATAAATGAACTGTTTATTATATATGTAGATATATAATTTTAAATAAAATTTTATTTAGTTTCTAATAAAATTAATTGCATTTTAGTAATCTATAAAACTCTAAAATATATGTAATAAAATTAATTATTTTTAACATGAAACATCATTTTTTAAATATATCTAAATGCATGAGACATTATTAAACAAATTTTTATCGGATAATAATTATGTCTTGTTTTAAATTTGTTATTATGTTTCATATCAATAATTTGTTTCTTATTATTTTTTAGTTTCTTGTAATTTGGACTTACTGGTCTCTGGATTTAATACTGATCACAGAATTTCTTATCTGGTCTTAGTATTGCTTAGGCTACTACGTTATATGTAGATTACGTATGACAGTTATAACTTTGTAAGGTGTATGATGTATATTTAATTGAGTCGTATAAATACGAATATACGTACCTATATCTTCTGAAGATTCCTTAGAATATTTATTTCAAATGTAATAAATTATTTATATACGTAAATTTTTATTGTGAATTGTATTTATTTGCGAGATACAAATAATTAGAGATATATATATAAATAAATCATATATATTAAATAAATCATTATATAAATAAAGGTTCCTTTTAATAAATACAAGATAACAAAGTAAATAAAAATCTTTTTTAACCGACATTTACTATAAATTTTTATGCAATTAACAAAAATGATGTGAAAATTCCTAAAAATCCATATAACATAGACTAAATCTATAATAAAGAATAAATAATGATAATGTTGGCTTTTATATTAATGAAGAGTTAAACCTTCTATAATAAAATATAAAATTACTTTAGAGTGGCTAAGAGATGGATTAAGCACTTGTTTTGAAACAAATTAATTTAATAATAATATATAACGTGCAGAGGTGATCGAATTTTTTATGTACAAATAAATTAAACATATTTTTTAGAGGAATAAAGTAGATGAATAAATGAAGAAAGTTTTTTTAAATAGTTAATGCAATTTACAAAAATAAATCAAACTGTTTAGCAATAAAATAATACCAATTGTATAATAATAAATTATAAGGTAAAAAATTTGCTGGTAATAAAATATTTTAAAATAAATGAAATCACTTTGAATTAAGTTTGAAACTTTTTTGAAACCTTACATTTCATATAATATATAAACAAAAATATTGTGTTTTATATCCCAGTATATAAAATATCTAGCGGATACTGAATTTAAAATAAAAATATAGTTAAATATATTGATGTAACAATATATTATGAATTATATATAAAGCCTCATTTACTAATGTTTCTTAATTATATTATATATCCAATGGAAATTTTTTAATTATTTATTACACAGAATAATAATTCTAATTGTATAATAAAATATCTCTACTTAAATCATTTTATTATCATGTTTAATAGAAATAAGAAAGATTTTTATTTTCAAACTTTTATTGAAACTTGAAACTTTTAAATAAATTTGACGTTAAATTAAAGTTCATAACTTTGATTGTGTTTATTTTATCATTACATTAATATACACCAAAACACATAATTATTTAGTTATAAAATCAATATTATAATTTATAATTATTAATAAATTCTTTTTATAATATTTTAAAATATTGCTTAAAGAACAAATTTAAAAACATAGAGCTATAAAGAGATTATAATCCTTCATGTGAATATCTATGATTGTATTTATCATATTGATAAATATCATATCTTATTGTAATAGCAACTTATATGTTAGTATAAAATATCTTCAATTATATTAGATACACTTGTTTGGATGATTAAGATAAATGATAAGCATGTAGCTTTCGAGAACGTAAGAATATAAAATAAATATAATATTATTGTAAAGAAATACATGAGTATCAAATCAAAATAATGAAAATTAGTCGTCGTGAAATCCGTTGGCAGTAACCACGGTAGAAGCTCAATTAACGCAATTCAAACGCGAAGTTGCGTAAATTACCGCCTCGACGCTCTCAACAATGGCGTACGATTTTCTATCTACTATCATCATCATCCCTTCTTAAATTATGTCCTAACGTTCAGAGTACATTTCTGTTAGTCTTTATTAATTTTCCGCGAGTTTCAAGAACTCCATTTGAGAAAATCCAAGCAATAACAATTCATATAATAATTGTAATAAGGCGTATAAGTCTGTGTATTGCTTACCCTTCCAAACTTCAGCTCGCTTTTTAAGCGCATACAAAGCGAATTAATCGCACGAACCGCGGCTAACGTTATCCGACGGGGCGCTGATGGTGTGGTAGCGGTTGCTGGAGAAGGAGGATGTATAAAACAAGTCTGAGAGTGGGGACCGCCGTGCGATTGGTCGTATGCGTGGAAGCCGATTAAGGATCCTAGCGCACATTGGTCGGAGTACTCACAAATAGGGCTTTTGCCCGAATGCAGCTAATGTAAGTGTCGTGCAAATGTGCGTTACTCTCTTATACGGTAATATTGTGACCGCAGTTGCGATCACATGTAAACAACAAATTCATTCGTCCAGCACTTTATTACATACAGCCAATAGTTTTAAGGAAAATTTACTTAAAAAGCTTAGTGACTCATATTACGAACAACGTTTACGCGTGATTCTTAGCTAATTCTGCGGAACAAATGAACGAATTTATGATTTCAAACTATATTTAGATGTAAATGTATAAATACTCATATTTATACTTTAATGTAATGGGCTTTATTTTGTTTATTTTATGAAAAAAAATTTACAAATAATTTTTGGTGTCAATTATAATTTTATTAAATACTCCTAACTACAATATTATTGTTCAGATAATTTTATATTTAACAACATTTTAAAAAGTGTTTGAATAAATGTAATTTAACATTTTTTTTCATTAATAAATATACATTCTAAATTATGTTCAAACATTTATCTATTTAATATGTTTCTCATAAATAATTGGCAGTATCATGAAAATTAAAAATCAATAAAATTCTTAATATCAATTTAATTATAAATATACTTTGATACATTTTTAAATTATCTTAAACAATTTCCTTTACATAAATATTGTATTTTATGTTACTTATTTAATAATATTGTATTAATATCTTTATCAAAATAAACTATACAATTTACAAATAATTGATACATTATTGATTTGAATTTTATATAGCATTTGTCATATTAATCTTTAATATTTGTATTATAAATCTGTAACAAAATAATAAACAATTATAATGATCCTTGTAAAAGTTATTATGTTTGATAGAATCAAAATTCCAGATAATGGGTTTCTTAGAATTATGTATATATTCATTCCATTTATTGAACACTATTCTTATAAAAAAAAATAAATATTTATAAAAATACATTTATAATATATTCTAAATTGGTACCGCGACTGAAAATATATTAGTTTCATTTGCAAATAAATAATTTTATTACTTAAGCAAAATTTTTACATAAAAAAAATTTTCAAATATAAAAAATATAAAAAATTGTATAACATCTGACTTAGAAATAAATGTACTTGTTAAAAAAATACATTAAAGGTAATCACTATCAATAAAAGATATTTACATAAAATTTTTAAGAACAGCAAATATTTAAATATAAATTATAATGTATTCCTGTATTGATATGAAAATGTTATAAGAACATTCTACATAATGTAAAAATAAGAATCAGCAATTTCCAGGATTTTCACGGATACGTGCACAACTTGCAATCTCCCGAATTACTTATTATTTTGATTTCTTTCAATGCTTTTGACGAGTTAAGGGTCTTCTTTTTAATTTTCTCCAAGATGATTAATAGTATTCCTTTTTTCGCTTTTTCCGTCTCACAAATAGAAATATTAAGTGCATCCATTATTTTTATATAAAATTTTAATATGTAATTCATTATATAGTCTGATGAAATTTTCTATAAGTATTTTTAAAATTTTTATACATAAAATAGTTACTTTTCATTACTTTATATACATGAAATACATTTACATAATTTAATTTCGCATAATTGATTTTATATATTTCATATATTTCATATAAATAGTAATATTTATTGAATTATTTCAAGAATTTTATATAATATAGAAATATAGACAAATCATACAGCAAGTAAATTTTAATTGAAAATGAATAAATTTATTTTCGATTTTAATTTTTATTTTATTAATTATTACTTTCTGAATCTACTTTTTATGTAGAATAGCATCATTAAATTCCAAAGAATTTTATTTAAAAATATTTCTACGAATGTTAGTGATTAATTAATGAAAAAATCATACGGTACAAACTGCAAGATAATTTATTATATTTAAACTTGTATTTTTGTAGTAAAAAAATTGTTATTCAAAGTTCAGGAATAAATAAATTAATTAAACGAATTTGACCAAAAAATTAATATTTGATGACTGGCATAACGTTGAAATGGCAATAAGTGTATGTGGGGTTAAAGTGGGGGAATGAAGGTACGACGCAGAATAGGAGTGAACGAAAATTGGGGTAGAGAAGAGGAACTGGTCATTATCATCCTCCGCGCGTGCTGCGGGCTTCCTTCTTTTCTTCCTGCTCCTACCATAACAGAAATCAGACCGACACACGCTCTCGGGCCTCCGTCCAATTTACCTCGGTGCTTTGCTCGGCTTGTTTACTTTGGCTCCTTACAAGAATAATTGTTTTATACATATAAACGTAATTACGTACATACTTACACACACACACATATATATATATATATATATATATATAAGACATTGTAAATATGATTTTTGACTTTCGTTTAATATTATACAAAATAAGCATGTGATAGTAAAACAAGATACATACTTGCTCGTAGCCTCTTTAATTTAAGTGAAGTGTGCATTACCAAGTTATATTCATATGTGTCAATTATCTTATAATCTTATTAATTACATAAATAAATTAATCTGCTGATTAACTAGATCAAACAGATCTGTATTAAACAGAAGAAGGTAACTTCTTCTAAAAATTATGTAACGAAATTATTAATAAGCTAAAGTAACATTATTTAATTAGTATTCAGTGTCAATAACGGGTCTTAGTACTTATTTAATATTCCACAGTGTTTCAAAATGAGAAATAAAAATGGATTCTTACATTATTAATAACTTTCAATTATAAGATGAAATTTTTACTTCGAGAATAATCCTAAATATATAATGTGATTGTATTAAATTATTTGAAATGTAGATAATAACTTCTTCTACAGATGTATAATGTCTCAAAAGGCTAAGTAAATTAAAAAAGTGATATATATATATATATATATATATATATATACATAATAAATATGAAAGTATAGTAAAATCGAATCGAATAATTTGCATTTACTAAGGAAGAGTATTTAATAAATCATATAAATTAATTAACATACCAAATTAAATATACATAAATGCATAAAATTAATGGTAAAAAGTTGCAAAATATAATATTATAAATCATTGTGGTAAGATAGAATAAAAGGATAAAATTAATTTGAAGTAACTTTAATAAAGAAAATAATAAGCATAAGAGAATTGGTTTATTAATAAATAAAAAAGCTCTATCAAAATTAATAACGCTCTATCAAAATTAATAACATGTCCAAAATGTGCTTTACCTCACTGACAACGAAAACTCGTCCATCATTACCCCGGGAATTCTTTGCACGAATTTACGAAACGTGCGAAACAAGCGAGCCTGCAAAAATCAAAAGTCCACATCTTGTCATCGAAAGGAAAGAAGAAAATGAAGATAACGAAGTTGAGATAGTGGACATATCATGTAACAGTGGTGATGAGGAAGACGAAGATGATCACTCAACACCATCCTCAAAGCTTCCCAAACAGCAATACAATATCAACAATGATACTCTATCTTTTGTACCCCGATTGTTTTTAAAACCAGTAGCAGCGCCTTCGCACTGGAACCAGCTACAATTATCGCATCTCCACGGCACTTTTGATCATGCAACAAGAGTCGAACAGCATTTGCATGGGCTTGCAGCTTTTTGTAAGTATTATTCATTATTCTCAGTCAATATTGCACGACTTCTAAATTATGAATTGTACAAATAGTTCAGGCTATATATTTATTTATTTTAAAGAAAAAATTCCTTAATGCGCTTAAACTTGAATCTTTACTATTAGCAAAGAAGTTTAATCATAGTAATATCGATATTATAAACAATCGTGATTTTTTCTATTTACTAGTACATTTTCTATATACATAAGTGCGTATATTAGAATATGTGTGTTAGAAAAAGAAATGGAAAGATAGCAAAAATGCGAGCGTACATGGGGGATGGAATCTGTGGAGAAGGAGTGTAATGTATATGTGACATATAAAGATATGAGGAAAGAAAGATGGATTTATCTTTTCGCCTCGCCACCTCGTGCAGACTATATTGTGATGAGATTATGCGAACGCGCTTGGCCGCATCTCAATATGTTGCTGATTTATCTATATATGCGCTCGCCCGCGCACGTACACACATTCATACGAAAATATACGCCATATGAACAATCCAGTGGATACTTTTCTTCAACATACAGGACTTCAACTTTCGCCTTTGTAATCTTAAACGATCCCATGCGGAAATCTTAAGTGAAGCGAGAAAAGGTTTTTAAAAACATAAATTTTAATATAATTTTTTGGAGAATGTTGATGAATGTTGAATCAAACTTCTTTTATTTATTGGCAAATGATTTAGAAATAATAATGGACGTATTTACATGCATATTATCTATATATTATATATTTTGTAATGTGAAATTTGTATATATAATGTATAAAGTATTAGAAATTACAATTTATTTTCAATTCAAATATTATTGAAAATTATTTCTTGTACATTTTTATGGATTATAAAAGTCAAGATATATTGTAATATTGTACAATCATATCAAATATAGAATGTTATATATAAAGTATTGAGTATATATAGAGAATGTTATATGCACAGTAATATATAGAATGCTATTGATTAGTTAAATATAAAACGTATAACAAGATTTTTTACTAGTATTAAATTATTAAATAACTAGGATAAAAATTTATGTAACTTACGGCGTTAAATCTTAATTGAAATCAAGTAATGACTTGTTACAACAACTGCAAGTGTGTATTTAAATATAGACTTTATTAATATTTATCATAGTATATTTAATCATGCTCAATTGACCTCCAATACCTTAATTGATTGTTCGACGATTTACATTACGTATAGAGGGATGCATATAAGAGTCGCGCAATGTAAAAGGATTTTTTGGTCCGTTACCCACGTAATCGTGTCTAATACTCTTCGAGCAAGTAGAAATGTGTATATAATGGTTTGCATAAGTATAATGATAATACTTTAAAAATATTATTCATAAATTTTGTATGTATACCCTTCATTAAACAATCTTGACCCTATTACCTTGGGCTATTTGTTTTTGAAAATTCCATTAATATTTTCTATTTTCAACAAGCAATGCGTAAAAGTTAAATAGCCACATGGCGTTACCAAATTAAAACTTCCAATGTAAAATATAATAAAATATAATATTCTTATTATTTATACATATTGTTTATAAAAATTATTATTTAACAAAAAAATTTCTTTTATTTCATCTTATTAGAAAATATTTTGCAATGTTCGAAAATTAGTGTATTTATTTTGTTTTCTTATTAAGTTTTAGTATTATTACAAATACGAATATTCTATACGATAAAATATATAAGCAAATGTATGCATATGATTTTAATTTGTAACGATTATTCATTGACGCATACGTGCATAATACTTTTACAACTGTTACACCATTTCGCATGCATCATATGCAAATAAATATAAGTATATTTTTATAATTCTTGCAGCAATGTACATTATTTATTGTAAGTATTATTATATCATGATTATATTTATAAATTGGCAGCTTCCATTTTCATGCATTAATTTTTTCTTTTCAAGTTATAATTTATTTTTTATATAAAATTTATCAATTTATAAATTGAAATTGAATTTACATTTTCAAGAATGTACATACAAAATAGTATATAATAACGATTCCATTTTAAAGAAAATAATATTGCTAGAGGAATTGTTCATTAAAAGAGTTGTTTAATATATGGTACTCGATTAGGTGATAATTATTGCAATCATGAATTAAAAAAAATATTCAGTTTGGAAGTTTCGCGAGCAAATCTCTATTATGTTAGTTTAACAGCGGACACAAGAGGCATAATAGCGTTTTATAATTAGGATGTGCAGTGTCAGACCACCCAAACGGAAGTGAACCGGGGTAGGTTTCCCTTTACCATCATATCTTGGCCACCTATGTGAACGATGTGAAGCCTGATACTACAAAGATATTACCTATTCATCCGACACTTCTTATTTGGCAGCCTTAAAATGGCCCTTCAGAGATTTTTTCACTTCCTATTTTTTACGGCTGCATGCATATATATCCGTTTCAATATTCGTGCAGTAATATATTCAAAAAGAGTTATCAATTTAAGATATCGTTTAATTTTAAATTCTTTTATCGCAATTAAATTTACATTAAATTGAGTAAGAATCAATAAAATATCGTATATGATGATCTCAATTATAAGTAAAAAATAAGAATCGACTATATTAAATAATAGAAAATAACTTAACAACGACAACTTAAAATAAATTTAGAAATTTTTATAATTATGAATGATTGTCGTTAAATAAAATTGATTGTTAATTTTATCGGGTTTACATAACATACATCGAGATACATAATTCGTAAAAATGTGTAAGCAGTTGTTTTTAAAACTTTAATATTAACCATCGAATTTCTTTTATAAATTCAAAATTTTATGAATTAAAGAAAATAAATAAATTGAAAACAGTGTATAATTTAATGTTTCAAATAATAATGAAACCTCAACAAAATTAATTCAAAAATTAATCTGATAAAATTCAAATACTAGCACATCTTTATACAAAATTTTAAAGACGTAATAATCTTTAGTTATAGAGTAGATAAGTCCATGATAAAATATATATTTTAGAAAATTGCTACATTTCATTCGTTAAGCAAGTCGACTGTGACCAACGCCATAATCTTAATAGAAAAAACTTCGAGCAATTTATGAAATGTTTAAATTCTCACAGTAATAAATAATTTATTTTTGCAATTATTTTGTGATGGTCATACAGTAGCTAGGCGAAAGAAAAAGGTGGGCCGTCCACGTCGTCAGCGTACAACATTCAGTCTTGAGCAAACACTGAAGCTTGAATCGGAATACATTAGAGGAGAGTATATATCCCGTAGCCGGCGCTTTGAACTTGCAGCAGCACTAAATCTTACCGAGACTCAGATAAAAATTTGGTTCCAAAATCGTCGTGCCAAGGACAAGCGACTAGAAAAGGCACGACAAGATCAGCGTATAAGGTAATAACTGAATATTGTCGAATCCTTTTCTTCGCTATTTTATTTATTTTATGATACTATTTTATATTGTATTGTTTTAAAATATACTGATTGGAACAAAATTTAAAGATTTTTTATTGATAATTATTTAACACTCTT